ACTTCTTCTGGAGGTGCAGCAGGAACACGAATAGTTGGTACCGATTCTTTTTTCAGGAGCAGCTTCTTAGCAAAACCAGCTTTATACTGACCCTCGTTTATAAAGCAGTCTGCGAAAAGATTCGTGAATCGTGCAAACATGAAAGCATTGACGTTGCTCGTGGGGAATATTCCCTTCGAAAACAAACTCAGCCACTGTGTCTTCAGCGGTTCGGATTTAGGAACATCAAAATGACTGCGGTGTTTGTTATTACACACCCAAGAACAGAACACCACAATCGCTTAGGCGCCATTCTGCTCCAGCGTATCAACAATGTCGGACTATGATGACAGCTCGCTCAGGGCTGGTCTGTGTTGAAACGCTGCTGTCAATCAACAATCGTGGGAGGGGCGTCTGACTGTGTGACGTCACACGGTCGAACGGCTCGATTTGAGGCAGGGGAAAACATAAGGAGATTAAAACAAAAACACTGGATAGATTTTTATCATTATATGATGGGGCACTGCCAACACACATTTCAGTACAATCAACTTGAAAAAGTGTATGTACCATTATATGACCCCTTTAACATGCAAATGTTTGTTTATTTGAATCAGAATTTTGAATCATTTCATTGAACTGATTCACAGACATGAAAATGCACTTACCAACTCTGACCCTACAAAAAAATGAGGTTTAAATGAGAGATGCTATTAAAACGTTGTGTTAAAGCTCTTAAAATACTCATGAGGGATCACAAAACTATTTAATGGCCAAATAAAAAAAGTCATTAAAATCATCGCTATTTTCACCATGTCACTTATTTTTAAATTACCAACAGAAGTCTCAAAAATAGTCTCAAAAATAGCCTGAAAATTCAATACATCGCCCAACTCTACCTGGTACCATATCCAAAAAAGCTTTTAGGTACCTTTTTTTTTTTTTTTAGAAGAAGAAAGACTCAAGAACTGTTCCAGGAGCTTTCAAACAAGGCAATATCTGTTTTTTATCTCCATTGCTTTCCTCCTCCTCTCTTCCTCTTTAACAGTTAGCCTGCTGTAATTTTCAGAGAATTAGCCAAACCTGGACTGGGATTGTGAGTATGCGTGTGAAGCCTGTCTTTGATGTCTCTAAAAAAGTGCCCATAATTAGCCAAGTTAGGTCAGGAGACATGGACACAGCAGATTCAAGCTAGAACACATCAGCATGTTTATTCCCAGAAGCTCACAGAGACTCTGGAGAAAAGGCTCACAAAAAAGTCTGTAAAGAATTAAAACTGGCTCCAGGCTTGAAGATAACTTTTTGGACTTTATTTATTAGAGCTAGAAAGAATCAAAATGCTACAACAGGCCGAAATTTATTAAATAGTAAAAAAACACATAATATAAAGAAATAAAATCTTCAACAATACATTCTCTTAGTGCCTTGTGGGTGTAGAAACTAATCTCCCATTTATTACAGGGTAAAGCTCTTATTTGTGGTACAAAAAGCATGCTGAGCAATATTTCACTGTCAGTCCAATGTTAGTTTCACCTCAGGACCAAACTTCCATTCTCCTGCATCTGGCTTGCATGATCTATCGATCTGAACCCAGCGACAAGCTCTCTGGTCCTATACAAAGTCACAATCTGTCCCCCATCCATTCATGTTTCTTTTCTTTCTTCCATCCACCAACTAGCATCTCATCCCACCTCTACACACTAGGGTCAATGGCATCCCATCGGCCCTGACTCGATTCTGCATCCCATTGGCAGCCATGACGAGGGCGTCCACAGCCCATAAAGCATAATAAACATGAATCTTTATTTTATGAGAACAATACCACCCTGGCCTGGCCATGCCCATTCCTCCCAGCCTGTCAGTCTGAACAAAGAGCCCCCAGTAACCATCAATCCATGCGGCCAGAGGGGCAGCTCCTTTGTGTATCCTAATTACACACCACTTTAGAGCAGTTGGAGGCCTTGGGGTGGAGTGTGTCTGCACGTGTGTGTGTGTATGTGTGAGATATAGAGGGAATCCTGGGGTGAGCATATGGCCGCTCTCGAACCCAGGTGCAGGGGAGGAGCAAAGCCTAAAACATCCCGCTGGAGGCGAATTCCACCAGCACAGAGGAAATGATGGAGAAAGTTAAAGGATGTGGAGAACTAATGGCAATTACCAGCCATTCTGACTAGCTTTTATGACGTGGCGAGCATCTGTCTGCACTCGGTCTTAAACCGACAAACGCTTGTCAAGTAGAAGTCATTAAAACACAATCACGCATTATTTTTGTCTAGACTGGCGTATCACAATTGTTTGAATGACTGGAAGCTGCTTTATGGTGATATTAGCATGGGATAGATTTCAACTTTATTGTGAATGTGTTAAACTGTGGCCCTGGGAGATCATCTGATGCTAGTAAGCATTTACAAGTCTGAAAAAGGAGCACATCCTAACCCTATCCATCACTTAACTATCAATTCAAAGATGAATGCACCACATGACAATAAAAAATAGAAACACCATTGTGTTGGAATGCAGTACTATACAATTCCAAAGAGGCTTCGTTCACAAAGTCAGTGATTGGGTTCGACAATCATATTTACTAACAGGTCTCTCAAACTGTCCTGTCCAAACAAAAGCTTATGGTAGCAGTTTGAATACTATCTGTCTGAATACATTACCAAAGTAAACACCCAGATTTATTAAAGGTTTAAAGAGGGATGTGACCAAAAAAGTTTGAGAACCACTGGTGTACTACATCAAAACATGGGGAAACAGTATTTATTTATTTATTATGAGGGGCCTGAACACAACTGACACACGTAATCTATATTGGCTTGACTTCAAATATGAAAAATCACAACACACACATGCACAGTGAACACTATCGCAACACTGCTTGATGTGACAGACTAGTCGTTCACTGTTGTTGCATTTACACATTACAGATTATCCAAATTCACTCTCAAAATGTGGCTATAAGATTTGAAAAAGTTGTTTGGTTAAATAATGTAGTTGTCACTCTGGTTCATAACCATAACCAACTTTGTATTTAGAACTATAAAAACGAGACTGTCAAATGCTTTCTGCTGCTGTGTAAATTCAAGGAGAAAATCAGTCATCTTGCTAGAAAAAAAATACATATGTGCATTTGCTGAACACCTGTGATATAAAATAATTATTATTTCTCATACTGTGTTGTGGTTAGACAGTTCAACCAGTTCCCCACCAGTTTGGCTAAGGAGCTTTACAAGGTCAGTCTTGGCCCCACCAACTGGGAGTCCACCTGATCAACTGCCTTAACCAGCTTGGACCAGATAGGAACATACAAAATCATTTTTTGTGTCCATATGGTTTAATTAAATTTAATAGGGTTAAAATTTCTAAATGAAAAAGCAAATTACTTGCATACATTCTCTTTTTTGAGGACCAAGTCTAAAATTTCTGAGAAATCTGGGGGATGATTGCAAAAATGTCTATGTGGTGTAACCGTCAAAACTTAGTACCAAATAATTGATCTTGTTTAAAAAAGGTGAAATTCTCAATAAAACACCATATCAGCTAGTTTGGCATAATCCTATATTAGAACTATTTAACAGTAAATAAAAGTAAATGGAACACCATTGTTCTGAATATTATAATTAATTTGGGGAATCATGTGAGTCAAGTCAAATTCCTGAAGTGTCAAAGTGGTGTAACCACCATTCAAGGAGTCATTTTGTTAATATTGTGTAAGAAGACCATGTGACAGGAAATTATATCACAGAGATGGACCCCCGGTGAAACTAATTGCTGCATGCAAATGTTATTAACTCTCTTTAAAATGTGAGATAATTTGACAATTTTAGGGTATGGTCAGGTATTCAGATGCGTAACAAGAGAATGAACCTCATTGGTTCTTGCTGAAGCTCAAACGTGCTGTATGACAAGAACAAACCTCATTGGTTCTTGCTGAAGCTCAAACGTGCTGTATGACAAGAATGAACCTCATTGGTTCTTGCTGAAGCTCAAATGTGCCGCGTAACACGAGAATGAACCTCATTAGTTCTTGCTGAAGCTCAAACATGCTGTGTAACACACGAGAATGCACCTCATTGGTTCTTGCTGAAGCTCAAATGTGCTGCGTAACATGAGAATTAACCTCATTGGTTCTTGCTGAAGCTCAAATGTGCTGCGTAACATTAGAATTAACCTCATTGGTTCTTGCTGAAGCTCAAATGTGCTGCGTAACATGAGAATGAACCTCATTGGTTCCTGCTGAAGCTCAAACGTGCTGCGTAACACGAGAATGAACCTCATTAGCTCTTTTCAGTTTTTTTTTTAGCATTGACAAAAAATAAAACCACTTCTGCTGAACTTGTTGACTGTCATGCTTGATTTTCAGTCACAATTTCTTCAACAAACTACTCTAGAAGCAACATGGTCAGCTGGTGTAACTGGTTTTTGTCAATTGGCGTAACCAGTATTTTTCATAAAAATAAAATTATAAGCAGGAAAATTTATGTGGAATAAAATGTAATAATCTAGTTTAGTGTAATAACATGTTTTTTTTTTTTTTTACATAATGTGTCAGATTATTTAGAAAACAGAGGTGTTTCCAGTATGTCCTGCCAAATATTGCAAAAACACATTAAAAATTACATTTAGGGATAACTCTAATAAAATCTATTTTTGTGTGATATATTAAAATGAAGTATTTATTTCTATATGTACACTTACATGCCATCTAGGTGGATAACATTTAATTAACTTTGGCAGTTACACCATTTGACACATTCAGGTACATTCAGTCTTAACTGTCGTAAAAAAAAAATGATGCAAATGTTATTTTTAATTACATAAAATCAACATAAATACACTATGTACATTTTAACATACCTGATGCATGCTTTTAAAACAAGTTTTTACAAGATTTTCGAATTTCTCATCTTGACAAACCTTATTTGTCACTGACCCAAACACCAAAGCAGGTTTTAGGCAGGAGAAGAAAGAAGAGTGCTACGATCAAAGCTAAATGTGTTCTAGAAGTAAGTACATACCTGGTTAGGTTGTACTAAAGCACGGAGCACCACCAACTGGATCATTCCTCTCAGGTTCCCCTCCATGGACATGGATCTCCGCAGGGTCTCCATGGCTTCATGGTTGGACTTCCCCAAGAGCGGTTCACCATTGACAGCAATCAGTTGGTCATTGATATGTAGACGCCCATCCTAAGCAAAAAAGACAGAATCAAAAGTCAGAATCTTTATTTAGTGTCACAAGACTATTGCCAATGATTTGAGCTTTAACTTCAGCAACTTCCACATCAGTGAATCAAACCAGCAAGCTTCCATTTACCAGCCATGAGCCTTAAAGGGATAGTTCAACCCCAAAAATGAAAATTATGTCATCATGTCATACAATGGAAGTCAATGGGTTCCAATATATATATATATTTTTTCACATAAAAAAGTCAGTCATAGCCATGTTTCCATCCACCTACTTGTATATGCATTTTGGGATATCACATAAAAAAAACTGCTGGATGGAAACGGCAAGATGCACATACATTCTAAAAATTAGCATCAAAAACTGAGTTTGAGTAGGATACATTTTTTATCCAATAAGAAAAAATACGAGGTTTCAAAAAACATAAGGGCGAGTACATGAAAGAGAACTTAATTTCCCACAGCCTCTATCTTAATGTGTTCACCATCCTCAGACACTACCTCTTTAACCATTACACTACACTACACCAAGACCAGCGCTAATGCACAGCTAGATTTGGGGCTTTTTTGTCCATCAGAAGACCTTGACAATGTCCTACTTTCATCACATCTCTGATGTATTTCCTCACATTCTGCAAAACTCTCTGCTCTCCAAAGGCATATTATCCTCGGTTGAGGCTATAGGGGCATGCTGTCAAGGAGTAGATTTCCCTCAATTCAGAAGCTCTGTCTCTCTGGTACAGTATAAGCACATTATAAGGCATGCATATTACATGGCATATAAAAAGCCCTAAAGTTCATTACAATTAATATTAATTAGTGTTTTCACTGCAGAGGCCTCTGATCTGCTTCCTCTGTCTCCGGGTGAGGGAGAGAGCTGAGAGTCACATGAGGGTTAACGCAAGAACTTGCAAAATGCCTCAGATGTACAGACAAAGATGCTGATCATTAGTGAACTGTACAAACTAAAGATGATGAAGTAACAATGCTTGATATCAAGTAAATCAGAATGTTTTGCTGTGACTTCATCCACACTGAAGACTTAATGTTACCTTTAAAGCTACACTGTGTAACTTTTATAGTTTATTCTTAGCTAAAAACACTTAGTTCTTTCAAAAATATATATGCTCATTAATGTATATTTACTTCGTTCAAGTAATAAAGTATTCTCGTGAGTGTATAATATGCCATTGAAAATGCATACGGGTAAGGGGTTCTAATGTCGGTCGCCATGTTGCCCCTCCATCTTGAAAGTACATTAGCCAAAGAGGGACATACCCATTAAGGAACACTCATGGACGAGGTCGAACTGGAAGCCATGTTAATCTTGGACTACATTGGCCACCGTAGGAGTTAAAACGAAATCGGAATTGAGAGGAACAGAAACGCTAGTTACGCATGTAACTGTGGTTCTGTGAATTCTGGATGACCGCCAGAGGCAGTGTAAACACTATGGATTATCGCAGCGCCAGCTAGATAGGTCGAGAGAATATACCAACAAAGTCACGTGGCGTGACGTATGCTGAGCCCTGGAGGGTAAAGCTACAGTAGCTCAGCACTCTACCTCGGTACGCCTTTCTCGCGCATTCCGAGTGACAGAGAACTCTGGCGGTCATCCAGAATTCACAGAACCACAGTTACATGCGTAACTAGCGTTCTGTTTCATTCTTACTGACCGCCAGAGGCAGTGTAAACACTATGGATGACACATACCAACATAGTCATGAGGAATGCCACCCACCTGATGAAATTAAGGCTGTTCCAGAAGAACCGCAGAACTAACGGCATGATGAGCAGCAACGTTGACCTTATAAAACCGGGCAAACGTGCATGGAGAAGCCCAGGTAGCAGCAGTGCAGATATCCACCAGGGAAACTCCTCTAAAAACAGCCCATGAAGATGAAATGGCCCTAGTGGAATGGCAAGTTAGTCTCCAGGGCAGTGGTCTCCCTGCCGCCTTGTAAGCCAGCGTAATGGTCTCCACTATCCAGTTCGACAACCTCTGTTTCGACACTGGAGCACCTTTCTTCACACCACCATGGCAGACAAATAACTGGTCTGACCGTCTAAATTGAACAGTAGAGTTCACATAACACTTCAAGGCCCGAACAGGACACAAGAGTTGGGCACTTGAATCGGACCCTGAAGAAGTCTGAAAGGAGGCCAGTTCAATATGCTGATTTATGAACTGAGGAAGAAGGACCTTCGGAAGAAAAGAAGAATTGTGTCGTAGAACCACCCCGGAGCCATCCGGTAACCAACGCAAGCACAGTTCACTAACAGACAACGCGTGCAACTCACTGACTCGTTTCGCAGTAGCAATAGCTAACAAAAAAGAAGTCTTCAAGGACAACCATTTAATGTCAACATTTTGCAAGGGCTCAAACTGGGGTGAGCACAGGAATGCAAGTACGAGTGACAAATCCCACACAGGAAAATGAGGATTCCGAGCAGGGTTCAGACGGCGTGCGCCCTTCAGAAAACTGCAGACAAGACGGTGAGAGCCAAGAGAAGAGCCACCAACTGGAACATGATATGCAGAAATTGCAGCAACGTACACTTTCAACGTGGAAGCTGCTTTTCCTTCCTCCAGTAAACGTTGAAGAAAACTTAAGACACGCGGAATGTCGCATGTTGCAGGATCGAGCCCCCGTTCCTTACACCATGCAGAAAAAAGCTTCCAACGGGAAGCATAAATCTGTCGTGTGGAAGAAGCCCTAGCATTAGAGATTGTGTGAATAACAGCAGGGTCACAATGCTCCAGGGAAGGATTTAACCCAATGGCCAGACCCAAAGCTGCAGACGAGCCGGGTCCGGGTGCCAGACACTGGCCTCCAACTGGGAGAGGAGGTCCTTCCTGGGGGGAAGCTTCCATGGATTGCCTGTCAGAAGTCTCAGCAACAAAGGAAACCACGGTCTGGCTGGCCATCGTGGTGCCACGAGTAACACTCTGTGCTTGCACAGGGAGATCCTGTGCAACGTCTCCCATAACAGAGGGGTAGGTGGAAACGCATAAAGCAGGCAGTTCGGCCATTCGTGAGACAGCGCATCCTGGCCCAGGGGGCTCGACACTTCTGTCCTTGCGAACCATAAGCGACAGTGGGTGGTCATCTCTGAAGCAAAAAGATCCACCTCTGCTCTTCCAAATCGTAGCCAGATCTCCTGCACTACATCTGGATGAAGCCTCCATTCTCCTGGATGTACTTGATCCCTGGAAAGAGCATCTGCTGTCTGGTTGCACACTCCTGGAATATGAGCTGCCCTCAGTGAAGCGAGTCGTGGCTGACACCATGTCAGGATCTCGTGAGTCAACCATAGAGACCTGCGGGATCTCGTGCCGCCCTGGTGGTTCAGATGGAACACTGTTGAGGTATTGTCTGACCGAACAAGAACATGGCGGCCTGCCAGAACCGGCATGAAGTACTTTAGAGCCAAGAACACTGCCCTGAGTTCTAGCAGGTTGATATGTTCCGCGGCCTGGATCGGAGTCCAGCGCCCGGAAATACCCCTCCGATTCCACGTTGCCCCCCATCCTGTGAGGGAAGCGTCTGTCGTGACCAACTCCCGACGAGAGGGAACAACACCCAGGGGCACTCCTGCCTTCAGAAACTCTAACTGTCTCCACCGCCTCAACGCACATATGCAACGGTGAGAAATTATAACCAGTTGATGACGATGTCTGGTGGGATCTAGCCGCAAACTGTTGTTCCATAACTGGAGTGGTCTGAGATGGAGTAAACCCAGGGGGATCACAACTGTAGCCGCTGTTAACATCCCTATCAGTCGTAGGACCACCTCGTACTGCAAAGACACACCCGGACGAAAGCGAGCCAAAAGTTGTAGAATGTTTGTCACACGTTCCTGAGATAGGGAGGCAGACATTAGGCAGGAATTCAGGGTCATTCCTATGAACGTAGTGGTCTGTGATGGAATCAAACGGCTCTTTTTCTTGTTCACAGAAAACCCCAGCTTCTGCACATGTCTCAAGAGCAGTCTGGAGTCTTGTACGGCCTGCTGCTCTGTGGGGGCACAGAGAAGCCAGTCGTCCAAATAAGGAAGAATACGGATACCTCTCATCCAAAGAGGAGACAGAGCTGCGCTCACACACCTTGTGAAGACGCGAGGAGCAAGGGAAAGGCCGAAGGGTAGCACTTTGAACTGGTATGCTTGATTCAGGAAACTGAAACGTAGAAACTTTCTGTGATGTACAGCAATTGGGACGTGAAAGTATGCATCTTTCAGATCGACACTTACAAACCAATCGTCTGCTGTCACAGACCGGAGAACATCGGCTGTGCGCAGCATTCGGAAGGGAAGGACCTTCAGGAACAAATTCAGAAGCCTTAAATCGAGAATTGGGCGGAAACCACCGTCCTTCTTTGGAACAAGAAAATAAGTTGAATAGAACCCGTCTCTCTGAACGAGGGGATGGACCTTTTCTATGGCTCCCTTCTCTAACAGTGAACAGATTTCCAGAGAGAGAGCCACTGCGCGAACCGCGTCTCTGACAATCGTAGGAACAATTCTTGAAAATCTGGGAGGCCGGCGCCGAAACTGTAGAGTATATCCCCTGCTCAGAGTCGCCAACACCCAGGGGTCTGCTGTGTTGGATCTCCAGTACTCCAGTTGCTCTACAGAAAAATGATCGACCGCCGGCCTGACTGTCTCAGGCTTTACGTGTGCGATTTTTAGTGGTCGCGGGGGGACGCTGACGGGGCCCTCCCGGAAACTGTCGATGAGGTGGGCGAAAAACTCTCGCATCTTCAGGAACACGAGGTCTTTGAGGGGGCTGTGACTGAGGTGTAGCGTGCCGGCGGAAACGCTGCTCCGATGCGGCATAGTGATGTCGGGTCTGAACCGCTGGCATCCTAAAGGTAGGGTTGCGCTGCACCTGTGTCAGCTGACGAGTGGCTTCAGACAGCTTTACCCGCTTTTCCAACAGTTCCGGAACATTTGGACCAAAGATATGCCCGGGAACAAAAGGAAGATCTCTCAAGGTTTTC